AGTCGGAATGCTTTCTCAAAACACGTTCGAAGGACCGATTTTGGCCATCTTTACGATAGGTGTACTGACAAGAAAAGGTTTCGGCAAGGTGACAGATTTTCAATAGTAAATGATTTAACGTTTTCTGCAAAAAATTATCATAAAAGAAAATCTAAAAATATTTTAAAACTTATGTAGTTTTCAGAATATCGGCTATTGTCTCTAAAATTGATTGTATTTTTCCAGAATATTATTTCTATTTGTTTTTTAAACTCCTTTCAAAACGCTATTAATTACATATAATAAGTAAAATATTTTTCAACACCTTTCGATAATTGCTGCATAAAAGTGGAAAGATGATAGACTTGTTTCGTTCTCAACGTCATATTTTATTCATCCAGAAAGTAAGTTTCTTGGAGGCTGTAAAGAGACACGAAAAATAATTACCTGGAAGCATTTATTGAAACAGATATAGCACTCTTTCAGTTACCTATTAAGATGAGAACCACCAGAATTGAAGCACGTGTCATACCATGAAACGAATTTCTGTACACCAGTGTTGAAGAGATCCGCCGCCGGAGAACGGAGCCACCCTATGACAGACGTATGTCTGAACTTCGAGGAATTGCTGCTTCGGCAAGGATCTCTAGTGCTGGAACAGATGGTAATCGCTAGGAGACTGCTCCACGACCATTCTTGCCCTCAAGCGGTTCTGCGCATACAACAGGTGCTGCAGTGGTTCCCCATTAGCACAAAGATATTGTACAATATTGTACGATATTGCACAATAATCGCAATACTATATAATATTGTTCTTTATCATATAATATTATATAATATTGTACAATATCGTGCAGCATGTTGTGCTACATGGGTTCTTCTGGGAGATGTCAGACTATCCCGCCTATATTCCCGAACTTTCTCCGATCATCTGGAAAGGTTCCTACCCGGGAATTATTTCCGCAGGGATGACGACTTGTAAAAGGCTATCACACATTGGTTATGTTCTCAGGTGAGGGAATTTGAAGGTCTCTTCTATCAGTCAAAGGATTATGAAGAAAAAATAAAGAGTCTAACCATGCATCCTTCATTATTTAATATCATGAATCAAATTTTAACGATAGAGCCCTGGAAAGAGGACAACAGTCTCATGTTCTTAACAGATGGTTTGAAAACAGAAATGAGAACAGGGTGCTCTTACTGCGCATTCGAAAACGGCATCAAATTCTTAGAATGGAAGAAAAAATTAGAAACATTCCACACAGTGTTTCAGGTAGAATTTATGGAACTGAAAGAAGCGATAATCAGAGCAAGTCAATGGAACGAAATAACTAAAATTTGGACAGACAGCCTTTCGAGTGTAATGGCAGTGCTTGATCTTCTTACCCCTCATCAATTTGTCAGAGACATTCAGTCCCTTCTCACATAGAATCGAAATATTCTGGTTAGATAGATCAAAGCCCATGTTGGCTATCGGGGTAATGAAGAAGCCGATACTCTCGCCAAAAAAGCTATCATAGAAGGCGTTGTAATGAAAGCTTTAAACACTCGATGCGAACTCAAACAACATTTACAAGAACTGTTTTTTTAAAAAATGGCAAAATCTTTGGGATAATGGAAACACTGGACGTTCTGTTCATCAACTGCTCAAAACTGTTCACACAAGACCAGTCTTTTGAACACGCGAAGAAATTCTGATTGTCACAGGACACTGTTCATTTCTTCGCCTTTTCCATTCATCGGATAGTGACTCTTGTGCCTGCGGAGAAGTCGGCGATCCCACCCACTATGCGGCATCTTGCCCATTGACTCTCTCTCGGCGTATTAGGAAACCTTCTGCTTCACTGTAAAGTCTGTGGTAGCAAAGAGTCTTGGAGAATACAAATTCAAGAAAAAGAATAATAAACATGATTAAATTCAGAATAGACAATGAAAACACAATGCGACTGGAATAAGTACTCAACTGCGTTTCCGCAATAACTCTAGCTTATCCTGTATTCAAGACATTGAATATACTAAGTCCTTCCTTTCTCATAAATCTTTAATAGTAATTTTCCTATTCCTTGTATTCCACAATTAACAAGCAATGGCTCCCCATCTCTAATACGTTACTCAAAAACCTGTGCATTGATGAAAGCTTCCTCAAGTTGTTCGTCATCATTTACGTTCATCATTTTTCTTTCATTGAAACCGTGTTATTCAAAATATTATATATATATTCCTTTATTTTGTTGTCAATTCTTTGTGTAAACACCAGCTTTGTACTTTCTTCATTTGCCATTCTTCTCTATGCTGTATTTTTTTGCAACTCAATAAATCCACCTATACCTATACCAAACCGGATAGGAGCCACATAAGCTTTGGAGACGGCGGTGTGGTGTTAAAGTGGGGTATCTATAATCCATTGTTTCTCCCGCCATGAATACAAAATAAAATATAAACTATTTTAACATGATAATGTTTATAAGTTGGTTTACAATCTGCAAATGCATGATGAATTATGAGACTTGCGAGATGCAAATATCTTTCATAAAGCTCTATTGGTCAGATCGTGGGAGCTCGAGATTCGGAATTTGAATCGTAGTTACATATTAGATAGTAGGTGCTCAATAAGAAAGGGATAAATAATTAAAAAATAATTGAAATTTTGAGATGTTTTTCCCTCAATAACAGCAAATCATATTATCGGGGGAAAATCATTTTTACATCAATCAAAAATTCAAAATTCAAAGAATTAACTTTTTAGTGATACCTAATTTATTTCGGTACAATTTTCTCTCTTATTTCAATAATTGTTTAAAAATATTTTATAAAGCATATATCACACGAACTGTCACACCCGATTGGTTTAAATTTTTGCTGCTGACGATCTTCCATCGCCATCGTGTACATTTTCAAGCCGTTTGATTGTACTTTACGAGGTTAAGTGTACTTTACAAGGTTAAGTGTACTTTACAAGGTTAAGTGTACTTTACAAGAGTTCTTTCCATTGTTTCATTTACCGTGTTAATGAGCACGCTTGTTTCGACGAACTTAAGTAAATTTTTTGTGTACACGTTATTGTTGCCGTAATTGAGAGTAAATTTTTAAAAAATAATATAAAGACAAGGACTTAGGTCTAAAACATTATCATGCTGCGATGTTTCGTTCTAGAGGTCCCAATCTGTTTAATATTTTTTTAGTAATAGTGAGCCATTACTTTAGTGTATCTGGAATATCTCTATCTAGTAGCTATATAGCTAGTAGCTTCCGTATAAGTCTAGTTAATCCTCCGATTCCTAAAACCATTGGAATAGAACGACCGCAAAATACGGAAACGCCCTAGTTCCTCCTTCAAAGATAAGGGAAATTCACTTCCCCCTTTAAAAAATCACAATGACAGCTGTCACTGTCCGAATTCTAAGAAAATCCCCCTTTTCCCCAAAACGAAGAAAGCGCGCCTCGGGTGTGAAATCAATGACACTTAACGAAAGGGGGTGGAAATTTCGGACGGGCGCCGTCTTTTCATTGAAGGGACGTTTGGAAAAATGTACAAATAATAATGACGGTACTTTGAAATACTACATGAATTAATTACGTAAAAAATATGTATCACCTTTTCTTTTCCATACCTACTTCTGTTAACTAATTTAGTGAAATTTATTTTTCCCCCAGAGCGTCTTGTTTGGTCTCCTAGCTAGTTTTTCAGTAACTCTATGGGTCGGCTGTTGCAGTTTATTTAGTGGCTACGTTGAACCACCACTTCCATTGAGTACCAGCATGTACGAATCCTCCTTGAACTTGATTTATGATTACTCTACATTTGAGATCACAAATGTTATCTCTCCTAGCACTACTCCAGTACTTTCTCCAAACAGGTAAATAAATATACTTATCTAACTTTTAAATGTCTGCGTAGTAACATTTCGTACTGGAGCATTTCTTTGTAATTAATATCTATTGTTTTGATATTATACATAAGAACATCTCAAAAGTTAGAAAACTCACAAAACTTCACAATATTAATTAGTGCTTACTATAAAAAATATTCCTTGGATAAAACACCCAGTTGTCCGTTCAATTGAAAACATCTGCGCTGTGAGCACTTTTACACTGTTTATGTGCCCAGACTGTCAAAACTAGACAAGACACCTCACTCATCTAGCCACTATCCCTATTTCACATTTAATCTAAAACTTCAACAGCATTATTAACCTTAACAAATAACAATAGTGAATATATGTATGTCTATTGGCACTTATCACACCACTGTAGTCTGCCTCCAGTATCACACCACCGTATCTGCCTACAATATCACACATCTTGTAATAAAGTATTGTAATGTTGTTTATTTTTCACAGAACTCTATTGTCGCTATTGTATATTGCCTCCAGTATCACACTGCTGTATTTCATATTTATAGCTGCTTTCGCCGCAAGCATGTATTTCATCAAGGCTTGTATAAGAACAGATTATCTAATCACTATAAACTGCGATCTGTAGCAGCTCTGTTATCCCCATATATATTTCTCCCTTTTTGTTTTCAATAAATGCCGAGAGAGTCGCCCATAGGGCCCCATGGCGGGTTCGGTTTGTCTTTTCTGCTCTGTGTCCATCTCAACTGTAAAATAGCTGTCACGGCTACAGGGCACAGGGCGGTGTTCTGTCTATTGGCACTGCCCTGTGCCACCAAACTGTGAAATAGCTGTCGTGGCTGCTAAGTACAGGGGCAAAGGGCAGTGTATCCCTAGCCTTCAACATCCTAGCGAGCTGAACTAAGTAGCTCAATCACCGGACATTCCACCTTCAAATAAAAGAAAGGTATTTCAACATCTAAAGAAAAGAAGACTATTACGAAACAATAGTGTAAAAGTGAAAATGCCTGTGCTGTACATATCGTATATATTTCCTTCTTTTTTTTTTGTTTTCTTTTTCTTAAATAAAATTCCCGTGTCTTGACCATCAAACCGTTCAGTGACCGGTCTGGTCACGGGTACGGGAGTAAGGGACGGCGTTCTGTTCTGTCTATTGGCACTACTGACTTCGACATGGTCTAGTGGTTAGGATACCTCGCTTTCACCCAGGAGGACCGGCTTCGAATTCCCGATGTCGGAAGCATTCTCTTTGGTTACTAGGTGCAGGGGCACAGGGTGGCGTTATGTCTATTAGGGTGGCCCTTATTATAATGGTGAAAAATTTACTTAACAATTTTTAAGAACACACCTCTTAATTTTTTCCTTTTACCATAATATGAGAGTATTCCAAATATTTCTTCAATATATAAAGATTAACCCGTGCCGCATCGAGCTTGATTATATGATTATATAAAAATATAGGAGTAAAAACGAAAAATTAAATATTTTTTGAAATGTACATTTATTATTCATATTAAAAATGTCTTGATTTTGTTAAGAATTTTAATAATACGCATTTAATACAGTTAACAATACAATTTTAATCATTTAACATTTTTCAATAATATATTTAGGCAGATTTTCGTTTAAGAGTAGCCTTCTTGCAGTCCGGATACTGCTTCCTGTGGTCTTCCGACACACTGAAGAAGAAATTACTTTTTCTCATCATCTACAGTTAATAATCCATTAAAATCTTGCATCAGTTTCACCCCTCTTTCGGCTGTATTATTAACAACTCAGAGATTTTGGAATATTTCTTGTGACTTTAAATAAGAATCGTCCCTATCCCAAAGATCTGGACTGATATTCAGAAAGCTAATGTCGATATTCAATTTCTTTAACAAATTTAAACTTTTCTGAGAAATGAAGTCTTCTATTGCTTTTTCTAAAAAAAATAAAACCAATAACTAATTGTACGATATCATATCTAAATTCTGAACAACTTAATGTGTAAATATAAATTAGAAAATCTTGTTAAAAATTTGATAAATGAAAAAAAATTCACTATCATTATAAAATCAAAGAATAATGTCTAATAAAAATTATTCTTAGTAAATAAAATATATTGTGTGAAAATTAAAATCTTACCTAGAAGAAAGGAAACTTCAATAGGCTGAACAATACATTTTCTTTCAGTATGAAGATTTTCCCGTTTCAAATTCTCTATGATGCGCTTTTTGGACGCAATATTAACATTTTTATCAAAAATCGCTAAAATACTCGACTCTTCATTTAAGTACCACAGATGATTACAAAACTTCTTCAAAGCAATTGATGAAATGCCCTGATTTTTGTTTTCATGTTTCTTTAACTTTTTAAAAACATTAAATCATTTAGTGGAGCACCAATTGCGGATGAACTCTCTAACCATGATTTAACATACACTGTCACAAGAAACAAACAAATGTTCTTCAGACCATTTAGTTCAGACATTTTTAAAGACAATTGCTGCCTGAATAAAAATATTTTAAAGGAGTAAATGGCCTTTGCCATCCATCTAGCATGATGTAAAGCCCCTGGTGGTCTGATTTTGATAGTCGAGTCTGAGTTCCTTCCAATAAAGACTATGCATAATTCAACGAGCTCCTGATAATCGTTCTTCAATTTTTTTTTTTTTT